ATGGAGAGAGAGAGGAGGAGAGGAGAGGGAGAGAGAGAGGAGGAGAAATGGAGAGAGGCGGAGAGAGAGATTGAGAGGAGAGAAATGGAGAGGTGGAGAGTGAGAGATGGAGAGAGAGAGGAGAAATGAAGAGGGATGGAGAGAGAGGAGAGGGGGAGAAATCGAGAGAGAGAGAGAGAGGAGGAGAGGGAAAGATAGAGAGAGAGAGGAGGAAAGAGAGGAGAGGGGGAGGAATGGAGAGGAGAGAAATGGAGAGGAGGAGATGGAGAGAGAGAGGAGGAGAGGGAGAGAGGAGGAGAAATGGGGAGAGGAGGAGAGAGAGATGGAGAGAGAGAGGAGGAGAAATGGGGAGAGGAGGAGAGAGAGATGGAGAGAGAGAGGAGGAGAAATGGGGAGAGGAGGAGAGAGAGATGGAGAGAGAGAGGAGGAGAAATGGGGAGAGGAGGAGAGAGAGATGGAGAGAGAGAGGAGGAGAGAGAGGAGAGGGGGAGGAATGGAGAGGAGAGAAATGGAGAGGAGGAGATGGAGAGAGAGAGGAGGAGAGGAGATGGAGAGAGAGAGGAGGAGAAATGGAGAGGGAGGAGAGGGGGAGAAATCGAGAGAGAGAGGAGGAGAGGGAGAGATGGAGAGAGAGGGGGAGGGAGAGAGAGAGAGAGAGAGGAGGAAAGAGAGGGGAGAGGGGGAGAAATGGAGAGAGAGAGGAGGAAAGAGAGAGAGGGAGAAATGGAGAGAGAGAGAGGAAGAGATGGAGAGAGAAAACATCTAAAACCATGCACCTGTCCCGATTTGTGTATTTAAAGGCACCTGTACTGCAAGGGTTAAGCTTCTGATTGGTCCTCAAGCCCAGCCAATCAGATGCTACCAGTTACATTTACTCCAAAAGAAATAACTCTCCAGTTCCCTTTGGGCCATGCAGGGAAATCCGAACCATTTTTCTGGCCCTTCCTATACAATGCCAGTGTGAGAGACAATTAGTCAATGCGGAATTAGAAAGCCCAGCAAGGCCTGCACGCTTTTTGGCATCCTGTGTATAAATGGCAATGCCAGACAGCTCCATCACTGCTCTGGCGGGAGAAGGGGCATTTCCCTCCTCGGAGTCATTCGGCAGCCTGCGTAATCTGATTTCTCGGAATTGCCTTTTCCAGTTTCGATCAATTCCCCTGTAGGAGTGGACGATTCCTTGAAGAAAAATGGCCACTCTTTGTACTCACACGGTGGGGATGTACTCTCCCGGGAAGGCGTTGGTGGTGTAACTGATCAGAAGGCAGGTCTTTCCGACAGCTCTGAGGAGACATGACAGGATGACATCATCACACGCTGGAAAGTGCCGAGTAATTAAGGAATATTTGTCATTTCAGTTCTAGAAAGGATGGCGGATGAATCATTTGTGTCGGGTAATTAGTGAAGGCTCATTATACAACGTTCCAAAACAGACGCTGGCACGGCGTCTCAGCAAATGTGCAAAAAGAAACCTGAGCGACTGGACTATGAAATGGGGGGTGGGGGAATGCAGTTGCTATGGACAACAGTGCAATTTAAAGAGAAACTTCACCCACCAATCTAATGTCTCCCAAAACCAGGGGTGGGCAAACTCCGGCCCCCCAGCTGTTGTGGAACTACAAGTCCCATGAGCTATTGCAACATTCTTACAGCCACAGGCGTGACTCCCGGAGACAGATGAATTATGGGATTTGTAGTTTCACCACAGCTGGAGGGCCAGATTGCACAAAACATGCGCGACAACTGTCAAGGTTCCCAACGTGCTTATTTCAGCTCCCAACCAAACTTTCATGCCCTCAAATGGCTGATATCATAACATGTGCAGCACCATGGCAACTGTTGTCTAGACAGAGGCCAAGATGGCGCCTTCCTTGGCTGTAAGGGATAGAAAGTTGTGGTTCCACTTTAAGGCATGTTGACATTCCTAAAGCGGGCTGTTACCCTTAGTAACCAACCAGGTTTAATATTTCCAGCAGGGAGCTGGTTGCTAGGGGCAGCAGCGCCACCGATGAGGCCTACTTCAATAGTGGAGAGCAAACGAAATAGCACTGTCGCCCCTGGCAACCAATCTAGTTGCAGCTTTCTCACAAAAGGAGCAATCTGATTGGATGACAGCCCAACTTTAGGTCCAGATTCCTGCAAATAATCCCACGCTGTGCCCAAAAAACGCAGCTCTGTCCTGATTTCTAAATAGTGGTTTCCCATCACAGCCAATCATATTCCAGCTTCCTTTCTCTAAAAGAGAGTGCAGGAATCTGATTGGGCAGCACAGATATCTTGTTCTAGTTGTGAGATCAGGGGGTTCTAGTTGTCAGGGGTAGGCAACCTCAGCACTACAAGTCCCAGGAGGCATGGCAAGGCTCTGACAGCCGCAGGCATCACTCCCAAAGGCACAAAGGTATAGCAGGGTTCACATTCACAGAGTGATGCATGCAACGGGTGTAGCAGGGTACAAATCAATAGAGTGATGCATGATGGGTGTAGTGGTGAACACATTCATGGTGTGATGCCTACAACGGGTGTAGCGGGGTACAAACCCATAGAGCAATTCCATACACGTTCATGGAATTATGCATGCGATAGGTGTAGCGGTGTACACATTAATGGAACGATGCATGCAATGGGTATAGCGGTGTACACGTTCATGGAATTATGCATGCAATGGGTGTAGAGGTGTACACATTCATGGAATGATGCATGCAATGGGTGTAGCGGTGTACACATTCATGGAATGATGCATGCAATAGGTGTAGCGGTGTACACATTCATGGAGTGATACATGCAATGGGTGTAGCGGTGTACACATTCATGGAATGATACATGCAATGGGTATAGCGGTGTACACATTCATGGAATGATGCATGCAATAGGTGTAGCAGTGTACAAATATATGGAATTGTGCATGCAATGGGTGTAGCGGTGTACACAATCATGGAATGATGCATGCAATAGGTGTAGCGGTGTACACATTCATGGAACTATGCATGCAATGGGTATAGCGGTGTACACATTCATGGAATGATGCATGCAATAGGTGTAGCGGTGTACACATTTATGGAATTATGCATGCAATGGGTATAGCGGTGTACACATTCATGGAATTATGCATGCAATGGGTATAACGGTGTACACGTTCATGGAATGATGCATGCAGTGGGTGTAGCGGTGTACACATTCATGGAATGATGCGGAGGGAGTCTATAGGAGGGATGTACATGTGCAGTATGGATGATGTCATGGATTGTACACCTGCAGGAACACAATATGGATGGACTGGATGATCCTCATCACACATGATGCCCTCCCTATTCGGCCCCATCATAGCATAGCACCGGCATCACCGTGCGATGACAGCACCGAACGATACAGTCTAATTACCCCCCCGCGGGCTCCGCCTCTGCATCACCGTATACCCCCCTCCCCCCCGGGGGTCCCCCCACACCCGGCTCCACTCACCCATCTCCCACCACCACACATTTGATGGCCTGCATGGTACAGAGGGGACCAGAGGCGGCGGACAGCGGAGGAGACCGGGCTCAGCCGGGAGAGCAGACAGGAGGGGAGCGCTGACACACTGCGGAGGGGGCGGAGAGGCGGCAGTCACGTGACGGGTCACATGGCAGGGTGGAGGGACTACATCACATCTGTACGAGAGTGTGACAAGGGCCGGGTCAGGGTGCTGGGGGAGAACACATGGGATAAAGGAAAGTGCAGGGGGGACACATGGGGTGCAGAAGAGTTTCGAGGGGACACATGGGGTGTAGGAAAGTGCAGGTGGACACATGGGGGGTAAAATGGTAGAGGGGGGAAACACATGGGGTACAGGGAGAACTCATTGGGTATAGGAGAGTGCAGGGGGTAACTCAATGGGCATAGGAGAGTGCAGGGGTAACTCATGGGGCGTAGGAGAGTGCAGGGGTAACTCATGGGAAAAGGAGTGCAGGGGTAACTCACGGGAAAAGGAGTGCAGGGGTAACTCACCGAGTATAGAAGAGTGCAGGGGAAACACACAGGGTGCAGGAGGGGGGGGCGGGGGCACATGAGGTGTAGGAAAGTGCAAGGGAAATATATGGGGTGCCATTAGGATATGTTGGGCTGGGGTGGACATTTGGCCCTGGGGCAGTACCATTAGGATATGTTGGGCTGGGGGCATTTGGCCGTGGGGCAGTACCATTAGGATATGATGAGATGGGGGGCATTTGGCCATGGGGCAGTACCATTAGGATATGATGAGATGGGGGGCATTTGGCCCTGGGGCAGTACCATTAGGATAAGTAGTTGGCACAACCTCTTCTTTAATCATTTACAACAAACGTGTTCATTATATTGTGTTCTTGTGCACTAAAACTAACAAGTGTATTTTTTTTTACTAACATTTTGGGTTTAATAAACAGTTGCAATTGATGCCATTTTACTCTACAGGGTCTGTGCTTTCAGGAAAGATATAATTGGGGGGGGGGTTAACACCCATAGCAGTTATTTGTTTTCACGCTGCTGAGGAAATTTTCTGCCACTTCTTGTCCTGAAGAGTCAACAGGAAATGAAAAGAAATCTTTCAAAGGTAAACGGAATTCTCATCATAGAGCGTCGTCACAGGAACAGGTGTCCCCCGTGAATATTTCCCGTCACATCTTGCTCTGGTGACAACTCTTTTGGACCCCCCACTTTGTGTCTTGAGGAGAATCAGAGAGGGGGAATCTACTCACCATGGACAGCGACAACAACAGTAACTTGGCAGAGGGTCTGACCTTTCCCTTCTCTATCCAGAACAAAAAATGTCTTTACATATTAAGATACAACTGTATCATGGCAAAACAATAAATCTGATTGAAAACCCGTAGACCAATAAAGATGTTTTATTAAAAATGACCGTGCTGTAAAAAAAACCAAAAACATTATATATATATATATATCAAACAAACAATTACAAACATCAAAAACACTGAATGAAAAAAAATATATACTACAAAAATGGCAACAAAATTTCCGGACGGACAGGACTGTCTGCACCCAGAACTGGCACTCTGAAGGTGCAGAAAGATGGAGGATTTGGCTCATGTTCTTCCACCGGGTGAGCCAAGCGGGGTACTGACATAGTTCAGGACTGCGCTTTGCAGGAGGCTCGCTCTCTGCGCTTCTTGATCTCTCATCCTCAGGATCTCAGCTTCTTTGTGCCTCAGCTTCTCCATCAGAGAGGAGATCTCACTTTCTTTGTCCAGCAGTGTCTCGCGGTGGGTATTGGCCTGTGCTGGAGAGGTGTGACGGAGACGGACTCATTATAAGCTATTTATGTACATGTCAGACTATTACAAGGCTCTAAATATACAGAGCAAAGAACCAGCTAAATGGGTGTTGTAGGTGACCCGTACATTTATCTACTTCTCTCCTGAACCCCTTTAATGGTCATGTCCACCCACAAGTCATATGTCAGTTATAGGTCTGGTGGGCTGTGTGGGATCCTGGCTTTCTAGCGATCTCAGCAGATATCCCTGTGATAAGTCCTAAACTCTATTCCTGCCCCCTAGTGTGTTCCAGCTCCGCTTATAGTTCCATAATATTAGATTTCAAACAATTCAGCAGGAATAGTGGAAGTCCCTCACAACAGTTGTGCAGAACTCAATGCAGGGATGGTGGGAGCTCCTCATAATGGGCACAGACACGGGAACTCAGCTCAGGGATGATGGGAACTCCTCATAATGGGCACAGCAGGTATACAGACCCGGGAGCTCAGCATAGGGATGGTGGGAACTCCTCATAATGGGCACAGCAGGGGTACAGACCCGGGAACTCAGCACAGGGATGATGGGAACTCCTCATAATGGGCACAGCAGGGGTACAGACCCGGGAACTCAGCACAGGGATGATGGGAACTCCTCATAATGGGCACAGCAGGGGTACAGACCCGGGAACTCAGCACAGGGATGATGGGAACTCCTCATAATGGGCACAGCAGGGGTACAGACCCGGGAACTCAGCACAGGGATGATGGGAACTCCTCATAATGGGCACAGCAGGGGTACAGACCCGGGAACTCAGCACAGGGATGATGGGAACTCCTCATAATGGGCACAGCAGGTATACAGACCCGGGAGCTCAGCATAGGGATGGTGGGAACTCCTCATAATGGGCACAGACACAGGAACTCAGCTCAGGGATGGTGGGAACTCCTCATAATGGGCACAGCAGGTGTACAGACCCGGGAGCTCAGCATAGGGATGGTGGGAACTCCTCATAATGGGCACAGCAGGTGTACAGACCCGGGAACTCAGCACAGGGATGGTTGGAACCCCTCATAATGGGCACAACGGGGTACAGACCTGGGAACTCAGCATAGGGATGGTGGGAGCCCCTCATAATGGGCACAGCAGGTGTACAGACCCGGGAGCTCACCACAGGGATGGTGGGAACTCCTCATAATGGGCACGGACCCGGGAACTCAGCACAGGGATGGTGGAAACCCTCATAATGGGCACAGCAGGTGTACAGACCTGGAAACTCAGTGCAGGGATAGTGGAAGCCCCTCATAATGGGTACATCAGGTGTATAGACCCGGGAACTCAGCACAGGGATGGTGGGAACTCCTCATAATGGGCACAGCAGGTGTACAGACCCGGGAGCTCAGCACAGGGATGGTGGGAACTCCTCATAATGGGCACAGCAGGTGTACAGACCCGGGAGCTCAGCACAGGGGTGGTGGGAGCCCCTCATAATCGGCACTCCTTATTTGCATGCTGCACCCTTGATTAGCTCCCAGTGCTGCTCCTCCTCCTACAAGTCTGACTTCTACTACAGGGGGGATTATAGAAGGCAGATACCAATTCAGCTACCTGATGATGATTTACATGTAACACACACACACATACGCTGTATTGTATTGTACCGACAGTAGTACCTTTCTGTTGTCTCTCCAGAGCCGATATCTTTTCTTTAAGACCTTCCTGGGTGGCGAGCTCAGCCTCCAGGTGTCCGATCTGTTCCTGTAACTCCACTCGAACCTTCGTGACTTCGGTGAATTTCTCTTGATCTTTCTTTGAAATTTCCTGCAGGTAAAATATTCGGGTTATTCGATGACTTCAGATCACCAAGAAAATCCTCAGGCAAGGTTCACACCTAAAGCGACTGAGCTGGTGAGCTGTTTTGGTGATTTTGCTTTGAAAACCCTGCGGTTTTCAATGCATAGATGTCTATGGAACCCAAACCGCGTGACAACCGCCCGAAAATCGCTCCTGCGCCTTTTTGTGCGACATGTGATTTCAACCGCGCGACAAATCGCAAAGGTGTGAACAGCTTCCATAGACTTGAATGCAGGTTTTGTGCGATATCGCGCGGATGAATCGCCTAGGTGTGAACCTAGCCTTGCATCCTCAACCTCCACCTGCAGCTGGAAATGCACCGTTGCAGCAATAAACCCTTCTTAGACCCCATGAGCTACATCAATCAGTTTCAGCGCTGAGCGACATTGAGCTACAGTGCACATTTTGTCGCACTACGTAGCGTCTGGGGCCAAATCGTACAAAATCCGCTGGAAAAATAGGTAATGTTCGAAATACAGGCTTGAGCTACAAGCGACATTGAGCTGAGAGGTGTGAACAGCTCCATTGAAATGCATTGGACGAGCTACATCGAGCGATATTTGAGCTGAAATCGTGCTACAAATCGCTGTGTGAATGGGGTCTTAGGTTGGCCGTGCACTTTACAATCCGATTGTACAATTTCCTTACAATAAAAACTTTGCAGGGTGAGGTCCTCACTAATAAGATACACGTGGAGTGGATTGCCTAAAGAGACACTGTCACTTTGCCTCCTGATAGCCCAGCAAGTTATATTCACCAAAGGTAATCTGTCTTTAAAAATATAACTGTTAATCTTCCAGAAATCCAGTGAACACTCAACCTTCCGATTGAGCTGACAATGCTGCCTCTGCTTCACTGAAATCCCAAGCAGTGGTGTCAGCCCTGCCTGCTTTTCCCCCTACTCGGCTATAGATCACCTTCTCCTCTCCTAATCTACACAAGGGGGGAGGTTTGCAGTCCACCACGGGAGAACTGTCCGAAGCGGACAACACTGCTTGGGATTTCAGTGCAGCAGAGGCAGCGTTGTCAGCTCCCTACAGGAAATTAGGAGCTCAGTTGATTTTTAGCACATCACCAGGTATGTTTCTGTACTTGCATCATTTTTACAGAGACAAAACACTGGGAAATGCGCTTGCTTATTAAATATTTTCTAGGCATACACCATAGCTGCATTCTTACTATCTGTGTCTTTTTAGCTATGAAAAGATAAATGTGTTAATTAGCATTCTCAGTACCTGTTGCAGACCATCAATGCGTCTCTTCAGACCTTCGATCTGTAAGCCGAGTTGGTTGTTCTGGGCCTGCAGCTCCCCTGCCAGCTGCTTCTGCTGCAGGACCTGAGCCTGGGCCTGGTCGCGGGACTGGGTCAGGGTTCGGATCTTGTCCTGGAGGACCGTGGAGTGTTGCTGCTGCTCGGAGGGAATAAGACGACAGTAACCAATGATACTTGTGATTGATGTCATTGTTTTCTTAAGAAATTTAAAGGCCTACCCCTTCCAAAAATTGGTATCTCAGTTCTGGGAGCAACTTATAAAGTCAAATAACCATTGAAGGGGAATCTGCATAGCATTGCAGGGGAAGAGGTCTACCATAAACCAAAGTAGCTACTGTCAAGTCTTTGCCTGGGTTTGGGGGGCTCCCTGGCCACAGTAAGTCAGTTTAGAGCAGCCTTAGGGTTCCTCCAGAGGTTGCTAGGTGTTCCTTGCCTCAAAGATAAACTATCACTGACATCAATGAGCTTTTCAGGTATCTGTAAGGGGGACATTCTCCCCGCAGACCACTAATGTAGTGATCCTTCTTCCCACCACCAACCAGCAGTATAAAGGGTACGTCTCCACCAACTCCACAAGGGGTCACTTTTTCCCTGAACTTACTAAATGTAAGGGATTCAAGATTCATTGTCCTGTGCTTCCTTTCTGGCCATTATGATTATTTGTTTCGATTAAATAAAAATAATCTGCTCTTAGGAAAAATGTATATAAAGTTTAAAGCCGCTATGCTAAAAAGCCAAAGGCTCTTGGAACTCTACTATGACACTGCACGGCGCTGAAAACTTCTAATATTAAATGCAACCTCTTTGGTTAATAAAGCAATTAATATAACACAATGATCAAATTTGATGTGAAAAATAAGAATTAACAAAATAAATCGAATTGATGTAAAAATGAATATGAATAAAAATGTGAGTGAATCAATAAGAAGTGATTTACTAAAGGAGGTAAAAATAATGGATAAACCGAAGTGTAATAAATGAAATCAATTAATAAAGAGTGATGGACCTTCTTCAGTAATATAAATAATATGTGATAAAGGTAATGTTATAAGAAAAATGCACAACACTGAAAACTAAATTATCATAAGTGAGTAACCATGTAACTGTAATGCAGTGTGTTCATGGGTTGAACTGGCTTTACCTATAAGGGATTATTCTCACCTCTTCCTGCTGAGTGGCATTCCGAGCCTTCTGGATCTCTTCTTCTGCCTGAGCGCGCTCATTGGCCAGCGTTATCTTCGTCCTGCTCAGCTCCTATAGAAAGAGATCAATGAACTCTTTGCCAGACCGGGCAGTGCGCTTTATACAGTATGGGTTCAGCGGCAGACATGGAGGAGATAGGAACTGTGTTATGACATAAACCATTCAAGCAATAAGAACTCCATACAATTCCAACGCAGTGACTAATCAGGATGTGGCAGCCAAAGATGTCCCCTTTGCTGTTAAAGCTGAAGTCACGGATTTGGAAACTCCAACCCCGCACAAATCCAAGCAGATGTACCTTCTGTTTTACAAGATTTTACTGGCTGGTTCGGTGACGTCCCAGGCCCTTCCTCTTCTTATCAGGAAGTGGGCACTACTTAGTTTAGTACAAAACGTTGGTAAATAATGACATGCGAGTCTTATTTGGTGCTGCAGGACTCTGCGCCAGACACTGACACTGCCCCAGGGGGTGGGAGCAACGACAGCTTGGGCTCAGGAGAAGACTAACGGTATCTAGTGCCAAAGAAGAAGTACTGCAGGGGACAGCTTCAGATTGAATCTGCTTTTTAATTTTTTTCAAAGAATGGTTAGAAGAGCCACTTAAAATGTTCTATGCTGTTTTCCCAGGAACACAACAGGTAGTGAAAGGAAATGTCTACAACGTTAGATAGTTGCCAATTAATTATTAGAACATTAAATCCTCACTTCATGCTGTGTTGACAGCTGTAAACATTTGGATTTCCCATTACCTTGGCAAGCCACATATCATATTATGGAAGCACTAATTTTATATATATATTACTGTATATAGATCTCTCTCTCTCCCTCTCTCTCATATATATCTATCTATCTATCTCAAATATATAAACAAAATGAATGTGACATCATACAAGAGAACGTGTTACAAAGTAAATCTTTTCGTTCAGGACAAATAGCTTCCCGTTCCTCGAGCAGCAATCTATAGTGCTGTGAGCCATAAGAAGCAACCACCGAACACATTTCAGTGACTCTGGTAGGGCAGTAGTGTGCTGGGAGCTAAAGGTTACTGCACTTTGTAAGCTGATATTTCTCCTACGTTGAATAATTCAGCAGATCTCACCTCCTCAAGCGCTAGTTTTGTAGCTTCAATCCGCTGAACTCTTTCTTGTGCTGCTCTTTCACTGTCTTCAAGATGGCGGGTCATGTGATCCATCTGTAATCAGAAAAGAGTTAGCCCCCCCTCTTTGATGTTACCTGGGGCATCCAGCTGAAGTGGAAACAGTCCACAGAGACTTACTTCTTTTTGGCGAAGAACACTGGCATCATCCTGGGCCTGTCGGAATCTCTTCTTTTCTGCTTCCAAACGCTCTAAAAAAAGAAAAGAAAAGACACCAATAAGCCAGGTTTATCAGCCACATGTTCAATCTCCTTTAGGATTACCAAGAACTATGTAGTGCCAAGGCACATCTGTCTGGATACAAATTAAATCACATCCTTGTGATCTTCGCCAGCTCTGTATGTGAGTACAGGGCACCAGGATAATGCTTCCTCAGGGGTGGGTCCATGACACCCTGTACTCACAGGATGTCCTCAGTTTTGCATGTTGAATAACACTGGGCTTCTTTCAAACCAAGAGACTGATGACCTCTAGTGGCAGAAATGGATTACTGCAAGGACCATTGGCGAAGAAAAGGTAAGTATTGCAGCAAGAGGGGCTGTTTTGTTATAAAAGGCTCCTGGGGAAAGTTTTATTTAAATAATTTAAAAAAAAGTTGGGCTTTAAAAGGACTGCTAGGGTACACTCTGGCACTATATAGTAGTTGGTAAGTCTAAAGGAGACTGTACAATAAGGTTGCAATGTGCATGGGAAGCTTGTTTACTTAGAAAAAAGTGCAGAAAGATCTATGATCAGCTGTGTTCCCTAGCGCAGCTTCCCCCTTTCCTGAACCCCCCCATCAGGGAGCATGCAATGATAACATAAAATGTCCCCTGATCCTTGGGACTACATGTCCCACGATTCCAAGTGCCACCCCCATCTAGTCCTTTCTGAGAAACTACAAGCCTGCCTTAGGACACTGCTTGTGCCAACATGCACAGGTAGCATCCTACGGCATGCTTGTAGTCTCTCTTCTCGGAGTGCACACAAAAGAGTGGCAACATAGGATCCTGCCAGGGAATGTGGCCACCCAGGAAGAGACAGCCTGGGGCAGTGGTCTTTGGACCAACTCAATGAAGAGGAAAGGAAAGCTTGTAAAGCCCCAAGTGGCTGAAAGGCAATCATATACTGTACAAACCTCATTATGGGAGCAACACCTAAAATACAAAGTTGCCGAATGTTAAATAGTTACTATTTATTACCATGCTCTAAAGAAACCACACTAGATCAGACTCTGTTACACTATGAAGACAAGGACTGCGGGAAGTGTTCTGTAGTCCTAACACCCTGCCCCAGGGTGATAACGCTGCACATAAATAAAGTACAGTCAATAAGTGTTGTCATCCTAAGATAGGAAATGTGTAATTGAGAGAATCACCAGGTAAAAAAAAAAAAAGCCAGAAAAAAGAATAGTAATGCAGTCATCACATCTAAGGACTGGTAAGCTGCAATATATATATTTTTTCCTGGGGTTAGATACACATTAAGGCTTTGAAATCACCAGCTCCCACCTTCTGCTTGCATTGCTCGAAGCTTGAGCTCTGCACTTGTGTTGGTCAGTTCCTGTTTTAGCTCGAACAGCTGTTCCTGCTGCCCTGAGCACTTCCTCTCCAGCTCCTCCGCCTGTGGGATCATACAATGGACAATCATCATTAGGATCACTTTAAAGTACACATCAGGGAAGATTTACATAGGCTGCCATTGGGGACCTCTCTGAGAATGTCAGATTCCTGGCTTTCGTGTTAATGCCTTTCTGAAACAATGCATTGGCTACCAAATTCTAATAAAAAAAAAAAGAAGCTATTTACTACTCCTCCTCCTTTTGGTGCTTTTTTACACTTCAAGCCCTGCAACAGCTTTTGCTGCCATATTCTTAGCCCAGAGCTTTCCCCTGCAGTACTTCATTTCTGCCACAAGATGCCCTCAGTCGTCAAGGTAGAATGACAGGTAGCAACATTTAAAGGAGAACTATGAGGCGAGTGCTTTTCACTCACCTCATAGTTCTAGCCGACCTGTGACAATGAGACTGTCACAGGTCGGCTCAGTAGATTGGGAGGTGAGTGAACACATACCGGCGTTCGCTCACCTCTCGATCCTGTCACGGCTCTCTGCCGTGACAGGGGAGGGGCTGGATTCCCCCCTCCCCGCTCCAATCCGCCAGTGCTGACTGGCGGAACGGACGGGGGAGGGTACAGCTGGCTCTGCCTCTTGATAGGCAGAGCCAGCTGTCAGTCACGCAGCTGGGCGGCTCCCGGCACAATTGTCGGGATCCGCTTCAGCTGCGGCGTCTCAGTATACCGCGAGCAGTAGCTCGCGGTATACTGCGGCGTCTCAGTATACCGCGAGCTACAGCTCGCGGTATACTCAGCCTAGGGTGACGGGAGGACACTAGTTTGTGTCCTCCCGTTACCCTAAGGAGAACTATGGGGAAAAGCCTTAACCCCATAGTTCTCCTTTAAATCCGTGGTTCTCAACCCAAAAGTGGGGCGTAACCCCATGTTCATTGGGTCGTCGTGTGCCTTCCACTGCACTAGGTGAGAGGCTTCTCAGCCTCCCCCATAGCGCAGCAATGTCAGTTCTCGCACCAAGCAGCCATTCAAAATAAGCTGCCCGGTGTGGCGCCAAGTGTCGGCTTCAGTTGGGGTGGGCTGGGGCTATGGCAGCGAGGGAGCTCCATTCCATAAGTGCATTGCTTACAGCTCCCTCGCATGCCCTGTAAAGGTGCCTAGACTGGAGTGATGTCACATTTTGGCTGCCCGCACCTCAGGGCGGGCAAGGGAGCTGTACAAGTAATGCACACATGGATGGAGCTCCATCACAGCACAGCTGCAAAAACGACCCCAGGCTGAGGATCCACTCCAGTTCTCATAAGGTAGAGAGACTTTTTTTTTCTGTGTGTGTGTGAGAATGACTGAGTGTGTGAGATTGTGTCTGTGGTTGTTTGTCTCGATCACAATTGCACCTACCACGCGTTCTGGTTCAGGAGGAGCATAGCGCTGCCATTCATTTGAATGGCACCCCAAACGCACATCCAGCCCACAGTTCGATTGCCCACACTGGAACGGTCAGTATCACAATGCCAGTTCCACAACATTCCAGTGCAGTGCAACTTAATGACCAAGGACAAATGTGGATCCTGAGGTTACACAGGTTGAGAACCACTGATTTAAATAATTTCTTCTAAGCCCAGGCTGTCATGAACTTGTCGCTGGCCTGTTCACATGTATTTACGTGAACCCAAATGGGAGCGGTCAGCCGTCCAGTCATTCTATTACGACGGGCGGATGGCAACAGGTTAAACCAGTATATTTACAATCAACCAATACAAAACTTGCTAATATCGCCTTTGAAATATATTATACAGCACAGATATGACGCTTACCTTGCTGCGATAGATGAGGATTTTCTCATTGGAAGCTGCCAGTTCCTGTCTTAGTTTGAGCTCACGTGCTACAAAGTCCTGAAAAGAGAAAAGAAGCATTGAACACCGTTATGGAAGTTTGGTCTAACCTTCTACCGGTTACACTGTTGCCTTCTTTCTTATGGCATCTCTTTACACCTTCACCACAAGATGAAACCATGAAATAGTCATTTAACCTACAACATGAGTCAACTGGCATAACGTATTGGTTAAACACCATTATACGACAACCATCTTTTATTAAAAGGGTCAGTCAACACAAAAGTGATATTTTAGTAATAGGTGGAGGTTGGTGGGCTGAGTCAGCCCCTGGACACTTATGAGTCTTAGATACTTCAACATTGAGATCTCCCTACCATAATTCCCAACTCAGTTCCAGTCCACCAGGCAGTTTTGGGTGTTCCCACCCAGCTTTATGTGTCCCATTTTCTACTGTTACATTCCTAAAGATATATAAAAAAAACAAATCCAGCAGGGATAGTGGGAGTCCTCCCATAATGGGTACAGCCGGTGTGCTGACCTGGGAACCCAGCACAGGGATGGTTGGAGGCCCTCACTATGGGTACAGCAGGTGTGCTGACCTGGAAACCCAGCACAGGGATGGTCAGAGGCCCCCACTATGGGTACAGCCGGTGTGCTGACCAGGGAACCCAGCACAGGGATGGTCAGAGGCCCCCACTATGGGCACAGCAGGTGTGCTGACTTGGGAACCCAGCACAGGGATGGCGGGAGTCCCCCGATAATGGGTACAGCAGGTGTACTGACCACTATTGTTTTCCCCTGGTGCCATGACTGTCCACATCTGGCTTTCCCTCCAAAGATCATACTGAAAGTTTTATCTTATGTTCTATTAATCTTAACTAATAAATCAGCACAGAGCTCATCTGACACACAAAGTACATTAGATGAGAGCGGACCAATGAACGAGGGCAGGGAGAATCGCCAGCTCTATGTCACCTTCCGTTTCAGGCTGGGCTACAGCATCTTTCAGAAGGGTTACAGGAACAGA